CCACGCCCAATATTCCCAGCATCCAACATAAATCTGAATGGGATGCAAACATCGGCTGTAAAGCTGTGGCTGAAGTTAAAAAGACTGTTTCTAATTTGAAACGTGGCAAAGCCGCAGGACCTGATGGAATTACTCCAGAGGTATTTAATGACGATGGAGGCAGTTTTACTGTCTGGGTCACCTAAGGTATTAAGCAACCTCCAGTGCATGTATAAGTCACTGATTATGCCGGTATACGTGAAAGAAGACAAGTCTTCCTGTGACAACCATAAGGGGACTAGCTTGAGCAATATGGTATCTAAATCTCTAGCCTCAATAATCATATGTAGACTAAGCTGTGCTCGGGAGGAGCAAACGCGAGATAAGCAGACAGTCTTTAGTCCAGGAGGGGTTCTACCGACCATATCTCCACCCTTCGACAGAATCTGGAACATAGTTTTACTAACCTGCGTCCAGAAATCATCATTTTTCTTGACCTGAAAGCTGCATTCGATTGCATCATTCTAGGATTACTATGACAATGTTTGCCTGCGAATTGTGTGTCAAAAATGTACATCTCGGTAATCAAGGCACTCTAATCGAACTCATGCAACCGTGTAAGGGCCTATGGAGATTTTTCATCTGAAGTTATGACAAGCAGTGGTGTTCGTCAGCGATGCGCACTGTTTCCATTGTGGTTTAATTGCATCAGAGATTAACTAGCCCTAACTGACTTAAGAGTCTCGGGGATTGACTTGTTACCAGGGAATAATCTTTTGAATTGAGAATATGCGGATGATTTCGTCCTTCTAGGTGAAAACGCTAGCAATATGCAGAATCTTCTGGAAACCTTGTGTCGAATTCTCCGCACCCGTAAAATGTTAGATGATGCTTCATGTCTGGACTTCGCCGTCTCCTAGCTTAAAGATAGTCAGTGAAGTGGTACGGCGTTTTGACTACCTCATTTAATTAGGAAGGTACATCAGCCCCAGAGGATTGGTATCTGACGAAATTTAAGCTCGGATACAGATGGCTCATTTGGCATTCACCATCCGGCTGTCGACCAAACGGCATGTGTACTGCCCAGCAGTTTGCTTTGTTCTCCTTCATATCTGTAAGACAAGGCCATTTAAATTGGAAGATATGAAATGGTTAGCTATCTCTGATGACAGGTGTCTGCGTTCTATCTTACGTGTTAGATGGTAGAATAGTGTGAGTAATATTGAGGTTAGGCGTAGATTGTTAAGTAAGGAAGGAAAAGCAGGCGATGACGTTGTGGAACCACAACGATTGTGATGGTTAGGACATGTGTTATGCATATCCTGGAGAAGAGCTAGTTGTGGTCGAACAAAATCATGACATCAGCCTATGAAATCTGAAACAGTTAGATTAAGCCCCGTGGGAAGGTTCAAGGAACCTTCGAGGTGAAGCTGAAATCCATGCAATCAAATGGAGACAGACCACGATTCAAGTTCAACATGCAGAAACTGAAGGACAAAACTACAAGGGATGCCTTCACTACAGATAAGATCAAAGCGGACTCGGACACACTACGTGGCATCACTGGGGAAACCTGTGATGAAGAACATTGGAACTCTCTGAAAGCGATATTTAAGGAAACGTGTACAACTGTCCTAGGAAGAAGGAAGATACAAGACAAGGAATGACTGTCAACGGATACCTGGAAGCAAATAGAAGAGAGGAGGGCAGGATGGTGAAGGAGAAAATGATTCAATGCAAAGATGGACAAGAGAAGGAGAAGCTGAATTCAATGTACACTGTACTGAGTAAAGAAGTGGAAAGGAGTGCTCGGAGAGACAAAAGACAATTCTACGACACACTGACTGGCAACTGAAGCAGAAGAGGTGGGGCGCAGTTAGAAGAAACCTATGGACATTATATCAGATAACCAGGCTGCTCGGTATCCGGGAAGAGATCAACCCAGACGATGAAACCAATCACAGATGTTTAAGCGAGCCTGATTTCAAAGAGTTGAGACAAATAAAACAAAGGGATGATCACTTCAGAGGACTTTTGAATTGACCATCACCTACAACTCACCTGGAAATACCACCAACACTACACACGCAACTGCCTGCCAGTGGACACCAATCCACCAACGAAATCAGAAATCTTGAATGCGATCAACTTACTGAAGGCAAGCTGGGAAGACAGCAGGACCAGACGCCATTCTCCTCCCGAAGCACTGAAGATGGCCTCAGAGATTACTGTAGGTGTCCTCACTCCGCTTCTGCAAAAGGTTTGGAAAGAAGGAAAGGTACCTACAGATTGGAAGAAAGGCTGGCTACCTCGTCAAACTGCAAAAGAAGGGCATGTGAAAGAACTGACGTGTAATCATGCTCTTGTCCACGCCAAGTAAAATACTAAGTCCCATCATCCTGGAGAGAATAAAAGATGCACTGGATACAGAACCCCGCCAGCCCTGAACAAGCTGGCTGGATTCAGGAAAGGCAGGTCATATACTGATCAAATCGCAACTCTACGCATCGTCATCACAGAACAAAGCATAGAATGCCAGTCAAACCACTACCTCAACTTCATCGACTTCGAAAAGGCCTTCACCAGAGAGCATTGATCGTGAAGTGATTTGGAAACAACTTCAAAACTACGACGTGCAATGCCCTAGTCCTTATCAACCTCATTCGATAGCTGGCTATATGGCAGTGCCAAATGTCAGGTGATTCACAAAGGGAAACTCGGCGAGGCGTTCAAAATGCCTACAGGATTAAGGTAATGTGATAACTATATCCTGGTTATTTTTAAGGTGTAAGGCAATTCTGGCTGTTTATTTTCATCAATGACTCTCTTAATTGTGGTGGTCTGGATTATGCATAAAACTGTTAGTTGGCAGTGAGGAGGCAGGGATACGCTGGACGACCGATGAAAAGACTCTAGAGGATATGTATTTCGCAGATGATTTATGTTCAATGTCAAACAAAATCGAAGACTGGCAGGTGAAGAATAACAAACTGACTGAAGAAGCTGCGGGTACAGGACTCCCCAGGAAATTAGACAAGACAGTTACAATAGCCAGCACCAATCACCATCAACGGGAAAGATTTAACAGTGGTTATTTGCTTCACTTATTTAGGAAGTACGGTTTCAACCACGGACGGAACGGATGAAGATTGAAAAGCCATTCGGAATCGGAAAGCTAAGATACGCCTTCATCAAACTGAAACCAGTGAGGAAATCTTGTGTTTCATTCAGCCTGCATAAGGAACAAGATTCGCATTTTCAACACCAATGTTAAGTCAGTCAGTTCTTCTATACGGGTCAGAAACTTGCACTGAGCGTCACAAAAAGGATTTCGAATTAGTTATGCTTTTGTCAACAGTTGCCTTAGATGGATCCATATTGAAGATCAGATAACTGGCCAGAAAGAATTGGCACCAATGATCTTTGGTAACGCACTAACCAAGAGCCGATCGCTCAACAGATATCCTGCTTGAAAATGGAGGTGGATCGTGCACATACTGAGGAGGCCGTCGAATGACATCTCGTGTCAGGCCACTGCTCGAGTGGAATCCAAATGGGAAGCGATGACTGGGTCGTCTGACGGTGACATAGAGATCGTGCGAAGAGGAGTTAAGCTATTAAGATTAATCGTGGACCCAGCTAAAGAGAACAGCAAAAAATAGAAAGTGGAGATGTATTGTTGAAGCCCTGTGTTCTAGTTGGAACCCGAGGGAATAATAACAGAGCATTTAATTATTTCTAGGTCTGTTCACTGAAAAGAAGTGATAGTTATTTTCTTCTCGAGACATTCCCTCTACTGGTCTTATGAATTACAATAAACTTTTTGTTGGATGAACAATAACTTACAAGTATAGTCGGTTTATTTTAGATTCCATTGTTTGAAGGATGTCCGTCTACTTATACTGTGCTGGTTTTTAACTGGAAACGAGAAAACATAGTGATGTAATTTTTTGGTCCGCTGACTGCTGTTATGCTTCCCTATTCCATTTTATTGTCTCTCTTTCTAGTATCTAGCGTCATTCACTTTATACATTTGGTTTCCTTGGTAAATTTTGATCATGAAAAAAGACCAAATTTGCAGCATAAATGATATCATTCCATTCCACAGATCCTCATCAGCTGCAAACTACCTGAAATTACAATGTTTGTAAATAACGACAATATCCTACTTCAATACCTGAATAGTAGTAGAGAAAACATCCCTAATATAAGCATTATATTTTTAGGTTAAGTTACCATCAATTTAAATGCGTTCAAAATACAAAAGGAAGTGGAGGCGAAAACAGAAAAATCTAGTAAACATTAGTAGATTTCAGGTTCACACAGCAATGTAAAAAATTATAGTTCATAAAAGTGAATACTTGCTCAGAGAGTTGAAAACATTATTAATAATCATTGTGATTTCAAGTAGTTTGCAGTTGATGAGAACCTGTGAAATAGAATGGTATCATTTTATACTGCGAATCTTGTCTTTCTTTTCTTTCTTTATCGATATTCACTTTATTTCACATTCTTTGAAACGGTATGCGTTAAAAGGTGATGAGACTTCTACTTTATTCATTGTCACAAACAACTTAAAAAAGGATAAAATTTTGAGTTAACACATTTTCAAAAGCAACATTATTCCACAGCATATTTATCCGTTTAACCGAGTGAAAATTCGTAAAATATCGAGATCCAAATACACACGTGTTAAGAAAAAAAAATTATCCAAAATAGCAGAAATGAAAAATGTGTGTAGAAGACAAAACGAAACTTCTCTTTCTCTTATCATACAAAATAACCAAACAGATTTATGTAGAACTCTAGAATAAATAAACGGAATGTAACTGAAAGACAACAAGAAGAATAGCAAAGTTAAACAACACAACATGGCGTTTAAAAATCATTTGGTCGCTAATTGTCAGTTAAAAATGTAAAGCATAATCAGAAAGATTAAAATATTTGACAAATTGATCACAGAAAGTAAAATTTATTTTTTAGCTGTACGTATAGATGAACTGTTTTTCATTTTCACTTACGCCAAACTGTACTGATATAACTACTCCAACTGGTAGTGCTCTGACACTGATCATATGTGGAGTAACCGGAACACTTAACATTTTCATTTAAGCCTTCTTCCAATAGCTTACATTCATCTGATTTTAAAGAAAGGAACATAACTAATGCATGCATAAGATGACTACGTTCTGAAGATTGTTTCGGCAGAGTTATAACCTTCAGTAAGATATTTTTCAAATGCTCTAAAGGAATATTATTTCTGTGACTGTTGTTGTTATTGTTAATAGAACTGCTTGACTGGTCGGTATCTTGATTATCTGCTTCTTGTAACTTTATTGAACTGTTGCAGTTGGTTTCAAGACGTCGAATTTCTTCTTTCAATAACTGAGTTGAATAAACAAAAATCAAATAAAGAGTAAGCTTATATCTGTCAAACAACACGGTATCGTTTTACACGATTAGTCTTATGTTTGGAGTGGATTTACACTGATTAGATAGTACATAAGCGACACAATCATTTTCTATAGATATATTAAAAATATTATATAGACTTATGATTTTTTTAATTCCTCAGTCGCTAACAAAAATACAACTTAAAGTATCATGGAGTACTTATCAGTTTAATATCAGGGCGTTATCCACATTATGCAAGTCATGGACATTAGGATGTTATTTATGTGATGAGTGACACTAGAATCTTGAATGCATCCTTTCTCCCATTGGGGATCATAGGATTAATGTACTAGCATGCCTAGTGAGAGACAATTTTACGAAAAAAGATTAATAGATATTTGCAACATAAATGTTAGTAATACTGGACAACTAATGGTTCATGTTGCTTTACTTTACATCTGAGCATTAAATGGAAGTATACAAACTAATCGTCTGAGGGCAATCAATGCACTTGTCTAATTCTGACTGTACTGACTGAAATCTACCGGTCATGCATAACTATGTGGTCATTAAGCGCTGTGATATGGCACTGCCGTGCTACCTGGATCACTTTCTTTTCCAGTACTAGACGTTAGGCCAACCATGCTTCACCTACAGAGATTTGAGTAACCAGTTAGCATCAGTAGTTCTAACAGAATAGTTGTGGCTCACTGCTAAGTGCATGGATTTGCATGTGACTGTTGAGTTACCTTCCAAGCGTAGTATTTAAGATCTACTATAAGAATAAACAACAATAGACGTAACTTTGGATTGGAAAAAATACTGTTATCCAGATATATTCGGTGGAGGAACAGATATTTTTATATTTACCATGCTATCAGTAGTAAATGCCTTATGAAAACCAGTTGCCAGAATCATTGAATAATTGAAGATAGTGAACAGTCACGAAAATTTTATTTCTTTCATACATGGCGATTAAATCAACCACTTTAGCAATAATTGTAACACTTACTTTATTTTGTTCAAACAGGCGCGCCAAGTTTGTCTCGCTCTCACTCAACATTTCAGAAAGACATTCAACTCGACGTTGTTGACTCGCTAAAGCAGACTGTAGACCAGTTAACTGATTCGGTTGAACATTTCTAACTTCTTGAAAAGATTTCGTTTGATTTTGAGGAGAATACGAATTTTCAAGCGATGAATATTGATTAGGTCGATTCAAAAGTTGCTCCAAAGTAGGTATAGTAATCTGAAGAATTATTGAAGGAGAAATCAATGTTATGTTATGCTAAATAATTTCGTCATAACCAGTCAACACCATTATGTTGCTCAGTAGCTACGTGAATTATCACCAACTTGAAGATAGACTACACCTATTGTGCGAGGGTTGGCACAGTTACATGACTGCTTAAATGTTGAAAGGTAGGGTGGCATCCAACAAAATAGCTAGAAGTTTGAGTCTAGTTTCAAGAAAATATCAATACCCACGGTATAGGAAGCTAAATATTATTAACACTTTTTATATCAGCATGTGAAGTCTTTCCACTTATCACTTGCCCTCTCCATTTTATTCCTTCATTAAAACCTTATCACCTCGTTGCTCTGCCAATAATGTTTCAAACAATTTCTTCATGTTCTTTTATCGATTTCAGTGGGTCACTACAGAAAATATCATTCTCAGTAACTTAAAACAGCCCTGCTAACGTCGTATTAAAATCTTCAACGACTGAATTCTATGCCGAATTATATAACAAACGTCAGTACCTGGGGTTATGGATGCGTATCATATCTCTGAAACATGCAAACTCAACCCAGATGCCACCATTTACTTTACTCCAATTAGCCAACATGGTGATTTAGCAAAATAAACCATACAAATGCCAGAGGTTTTACAGAAAGTTCTTATGAACATGTTTTTGAAGACAGAACTATAAGCTTTGGTGCAAAAAGCTCTCTGTTTGACTAATCTAAAGAATAAGAATGGGTAGTGATTTCCATCGGTACCATATCTTTTCTCCTATAGAAAAAGTGCAAACAATTGCTAATCTGTTGCTGCGGTATACTAAAAATCAGAATATGAGGTATATATTTGGTGCTACAAGTGTGGTAGAGGTAGTAAAACCTATTTAGAACTTGAAAAGAGAAAAATAGCAGGACATGACTGTTCGACTTCAAAAATGTTTCAGGATGAAGACGATGAAATATTAACCTGAATAACCGAGGTACCAGTTAGTTAATATATGAGAATATGAGGGCCTGGTGTATATTGCTGACCATATCAGTTTGTAAGAAAGGAAACAGTGATATTTACAGGGGTATCAGTATGACTAACACAATATTTGAGATTCTAGTTTTCATAGTCCTGTGAAGACTAAGTGCTGTTCAAGAAAAACAAACCCGATTGGACCAGATAGTCTTCTTTTCCATATCAATTTGTTTATTGGGTATATCACAGAATGAAACAGTATTATTTTCTGGATGACGTTTCAAACGTAATTTATTATCCGTAAATAACAATGTTCCACTGTATGACAGATACAAAAAACAAATTGATGTGGAATTATATAATACTATAGTGTCTATGCTTTACACATACATTGTTTATTGTTTCGAAATGAGTTGTCCTCCGAATTGTTGACAACTACTGTATCTTTCAATGATGACCACTACCACCATTCTTTTTAAATTTCAATAAGTATCCTAGTTAAATTCGACGTTTCAGGGACTGGCTAGCATCTAGGGCATCTACGGGGAAGTCTCTTTAATTTAGAGCACGCGACCTGAGAAAAAAGTAGAATGTTTGATGTGCGATTCGTCTCTATCAAATGTATGATGATACCACAGAACTGGTATACACCGACTTCTAATCTAACGGAGGCTGAATTAGCCCTACTTGTTTGGTTGTTGAGGAAACCTTAGCAAGGATATACAGGTCTTATTTGTCGTTTCCCAACTTACGTCATATCTGGTACAAGCATTATTTCGGCGACCCTTCAGACTGTGTGTATACCGCGCAATAGTTTGCATCATTCTAAGTAATGATTGTCGAAAACCGACAAACTGGTCGAAGAAGCAGCAAAGACAGGACTCCAGGTGAACATAGACAAGACGGAGGTTATGAAAATAACCAACCAACAACAACAACAGCAGCAACATCCAGCGCCAATCACCATCAACAGGAGGGATTTGAAAGAGGTTACTTCATTCACTTATCTAGGGAGAATTGTCTCAACTACAGGAGGAACGGACGAGGATGTCAAATCGAGAATCGGAAAGGCGAGAAACACATTCATCAACCTAAAACCAATCTGGAAATCTTCGTCACTCAACATCAACAACAAAATTCGGATTTTCAATACAAACGTCAAGTCAGTCAGTTCTTCCATACGGATCAGAAACTTGGCGGGTCACAAAGAATATTTCCAACAGGTTGCAGACCTTTATCAACAACTGTCTTCGTTCTATACTGAAGATCAGATGGCCGGAGAGAATCACCAACAAGAAACTATGGGAACAAACAAAACAAGAACCAATCGCTCAACAAATATGCAGGAGAAAGTGGAGATGGATTGGACACTCGCTGAGGAGGCCGCTGGGTGACATTGCGCGTCAGGCCCACGAGTGGAACCTGAAAGGGAAGCGGCGAGTGGGACGTCCAAGGGTGACATGGAAAAGATCGTGTGAAGAAGAGTTGAAACAGTATGGAATAACATGGATGCAGGTGAAAAGTACGGCAGAAGACAGAAGCAAGTGGAGACGTTCAGTTGAAGCCCTATGTTCCACTGTCTGTCTGGATTCAACATAGAACTTGGCACCGAAGTGCAGCAGTTCGAGTTGCCACGTTCCAAATAGCACACAAAGGTAGACAGGAAAATGAGTGAAGAGAATCAATAGAGTTTTGACAAGTATAAGAGTGAAACAGAATGAGTAACGGTAGAAAGGAATATGAAAGATTACAGAGACTGAATACATCTGCGTAAGCCATTGACAACGATTTTGAGCCATGTCACCTAGTGTCTCCAGCCATTGATTCTTAGAGTCCCGAGGGCGGGCCCCAACCCGGAAGTCTGCATCTCCCTACCTGACTCAGTTTAACTGTCAAGGATTTCATGGATTGATGGCATGTTTTTGTTTGGCCACCACTTACTCTTTTCCAACCTGCACCTATGTCAGCTAGTAATGCCCGTCGGGGGAGGCGATGGTTAGGCATGCGCAGCACGTGACCTAGCCATCTCAATCTATGTAACTTTATAGCCTCTTCAATTGATTTTCCCTCTTTGCCCAACACTCTACGCCTAACGTCAACATTACTTACCTTATTATGCCACCTAACGTGAGAAAGAGATCGCAGACATCTATGATCAAAAACAGTCAACCTTTTCATGTCTTCAACTCGTATTGGCCATGTTTCAGAGCCATAGAGAAGGACGGAGCGAACCGCTGAGCAGTACACACGTCCCTTGGTTGATAGTCGGATGTCACGCCCACGCCAGAGACGGTGTAAGTCAGAGAAAGCAACCCGAGCTTTTTGGATCCGTGCTGATATTTCGTCACCAATCAATCCGTTTGTGCTGATACAACTTCCCAAATAGGTGAAATGGTCAACATGTTCTATCACTTCACTACCTATCACTAAGCTAGGGGTAGACGTAGTCCAGTCCTGTAGCAGCATCTTACATTTTACAGGGGCGAATCGCATGCCAAACATACGAAGATTGCTGCTCAATGTGTTCAGAGGACTCTGCATTTTGTCAGCATCCTCCCCTAACAGGACTATGTCATCTGCATATTCTAAGTCCATAAGACTATTCCCTGGTAACAAGTCGATTCCTAAGTCGTTAAGTTCAGTTAAGGATACTTCCATTAGCATATCTATGATGAAGTTAAACAGAAAAGGGGAAAGTGGACATCCTTGACGGACACCACTGGTTGTTATCAATTCAGATGACAATTCTCCATAAGCCCTTACACAGCTACGTGAGTTTGAGTAGAGTGCCTTGATTAGTGCAATGTACTTTCTTGGCACTCCCTCCCTATGTTCCACTAGGAACCCAAGGGAACAATAATAAAATAATAATAAGTAATGATTGTGAGACATGATGCTTGAAGGTAGAGGATATAAATAGATTGGTTTTTAAAACATAGATTTTACTGTTCAGTTGATCAATATGAAACAAATAATAACATATCCCTGAATTACAAGCTTCCCCATGAAATCGAAGACTAGTTAGCAGAGAGCATCAATTACTACTGTGAAAAGATATTTCCGTAATGAGATTATGAAATAAAAAGGTGTGAAACTGTACATTTTAACTAGATAAGTTTATTTGATAAAGCACACAGTGATACAGTATTAATAACCGGATGACGTTTCGAGCTCAATTTACTTAGTGTCACACGTAATTTATTGTCATTCTTTTGGATTCCAAGTGGAAAATAGGGCTTCAGCAGTACATCTCCATTTCATGCTGTTCTTTGCAGTCCTTTTTAACTGGCTCCACGATTGCTCATAACCTCTCATCTCCATTTCACAATATCTTCTTCATGTCACCCTCGGACCCAAGCCCAACTAGTCGTTTCCCATTCGGGTTCCACTCCAGCTATGGCTTGGCTAATGCACGATCTCACTCAAGGTCTTCTCAGTGTGTATCCAATCCATCTCCATTTTCTTCAGGATATTTGTTGAGCAACAGGTTCTTGGCTGGTTGGTTCCCAGGATTTCTTGTTGCTAATTCTTTCTCGCCATCTGCTCTTCAGAATAAAGCGAAGGTAGCTGTTTATAAAAGTCTACAGCCTGTTGGAAAAGCTTTTTGTGACACAAAGATCGAGTTTCTGACCCATAAAAAAGGACTGACTGACTTAACATTGGTGTTGAAAATCCGAATTTCTTCCCTCATACTGAATACAGAAATTTTCCGCACTGATTTCAGAGTAGTGCAGATCTATCTTGCTTCTTCGATCGAGGTTGGCTTTGGCATCCTCATTCGTTCCGTCTGCAGTTGAAACAATTCTTCCTAGGTAAGTGGAAGAGATGACTTCTTTAGAATTCTCTCATTGATAGTGATTGGTGATGCTTTTGTTGGTTTGGTATCTTCATGACTTTCCCTCTCTATGTGGCTCACTTCCGAGACATACCAACTGATACGAATATTTTACAAGTATATTTTCATATCCAACTGTTCTTAAATTTTCAAAGAACTAATTAAAATACTTTGTTTAACCAAATGAAATAATATGCTTGAAAGGTATCAATATTTCACGATGAACAACTTACTTGAGGCGGTGTTTTATAGGGGTTAGCATCAACCAGTGAATTAGTTTCACTTCCATTGCGACTCAAAGAATAATTGCTAGCTGTTTGATCAGATGTTGTTTGAGTTTCCTCATTTGTATTGTCTGCCCCGTCTCCTTGATCTCTTCTGTAATTTAAATTCACCTGAAAAACAGAAATTAGATTATACACATATGTTAGTAGCACCATTAAAGAACTAAGAATGACTTTCTCTAATAGTCAAAAGTGTCACAACATATCTGCACATCATTTAGGTGTAAAAAGTTAGGAAAAAGAAATGAAAGTATAATGAAATCAGAGGCTGTATAGTGTTGTGAAAAAAAGAGGAAAAGATAATGCATAAATATATTTGTTTTCATGTAGCTAATTCTGAAACGTGCTACTTAAGATAGGAGACAAGTGACTACGTGCATCCTAACCAAATAATGTACATTTCACTGCTTGGTTCGGATCAACAGTCAGTACATACCATAGATTGCTATTATGTTTCTGTTTAACTATTGCTGATCTCTTTTGAGCCGAACCTCACTTCAACTAACGCTGTTTTTTCGGGAAAGTTGTTGAGGTCCATACTTTTTTTCACTGATTTATTTTACCTAAAATTCTGAATCTAATTTTTAACGGATCATAGCTCCACTAGTAATCAGTCACTTGACTTTTCTGAAGGTTCTTTGTATTTATTGGTCATATTTCACAACAGTGTAGTAGAGATGAGAGTATACTTTTTTACTAGTAAGCTACTGGAGGCTGAGAAAGCCTTCTGTTTCCACGACAATATTTAATCCGCCAATAACCGATAAGGGTTTTCTCAGGACTAAATCACTTGCATTCTATAAAGTCAACGACGATGTTCCCTTCAAGGATAATCTTTATGGCGTGAAGTATGAGAATGTTCATTACAAAATTCAATAAAAATGAAGACTTTGAACATTCCCTAAAACACCACAAAATGTAAACAGTCCATCGACTCTACAGCAAATGGAGGCATTCCACTACACAGCCTTATATAAGCTGATATAATTAACATGTGGCGTTTCAGTAAAATATACTACCATAAAAGCTCTCAATCAGTGGAGTCAAAAAATGTCTTCTTGTCAAGCAACACTCATTTCAAAACATCTATGTTTGGAGATTTGACAGTAGTGTTTAGTTATTACATCTACAACTACATCTGAAATCAATCCGTTCTTGGGTTCATTTTTGCCTAACATAGTAAAACTGCTTATCCTAGAGTTCTAGAAATTATATTAGTGAGGCTAATTCTACTGCGTTTATTACACACAAGTTTCGCTCTTTATTTGAAGATTGAAAGAACCGGTGATCGAGATTGGTGAAAAAGAATCTTGTCTGACTTCCACATATATATTATTAAAATGTGGGTCATGTGAGCTAACAGTATTAGCTCACTGTCCATGATTGCCTCAAGATGTAGCGTATTGGATATCATTGTCCCTCTACTTCAGTTTACGAGAGCTAGCCACCCTTTTAAGCTGTGACTGAGCAAAGGGTTACTGACTGGAGGCAGATCAGTTGTACTGCTCCTCAGGATGGATAACTCTTAGACAATCTGTAAAAGCTCCTAGTTCGCAGTCTAATACACAGTGAAGTGAACGAACACCAACGTAATTTCGTGCTAAGTTCTTCCACTTACAAGCTAGGATGGCCTCATTGCTACACATCCTCAGGCGGATCTGAAGCATTACATTTTTAAGCATGAAGAACACCTTTTAGTCCGAGTTAGTACCCTATAGCATGACTAAGGCTAAGTCATTATTGCCATTTTCCAGTAATTGTAAAGTGAACTGCCATGTCAGCTAAAAATTAAAAAATATTGAAAAAAAATAACGATTATCAGTAGACGAGATTCATAAGTAAAGGTCTTTACAATTATCTTTGGATCAGTACTTTGGGATCGATGAATGCCTTGCGCTGCGGGTTGGCCACCCCTCCGCACACCTCTTGAAATGATCCCATATGACCGGGCGTCTTACATAGCCTCTCCTGAGGAAGTCCTACTCACTGCCTTCACGTGGCGGAGGTGTTTTTCACCAAAGTGAGAAGGCGATAGCGGATGCCCGGCGCTTTTCACTGGGTTGACTGTCCATTGGATGACAGTCTAGGGGAGATGGCTAAACCCTGATTCCAAACCTCCAACGACTGGCGTATGAAGCTCACTGGAGCTCACCGGCAGACGTATGGACAAAGGGCTTGTTCCATGTCCTGGATGTCTGACCCCATTCAAAAAGGCGTATGAACCGAACTCCGGTCACCGGCTGCCAATGAATAGTGGACTCCCTACTCCACTCCTACTGCCTTGTAGGTCACACTTGGTTGTGTAAAGGCTAGAGCTGCACTCTCAAACAAAAGGCCGAGCGATTCTGGGGACATCACTCGTACCAAATTCCCATGAAACTTCATGAACTCTCTTATAAACGACTCATCAGATCGCCGCGCCTGGGCAGCGATGATTCGAGATGTTCATGAATCCGGCTCATGCTCCCGTAGGAGATAGCCGAAGTAAAGTAAGTAAGTAAGATCGATGAATGCATTTATGACTACTACTAAGCTAAGCCTGACTGCTGTGATAACTGTCTTACTGAATAATGCTTAGAAGAAAATATTTTGGAAGCCTTAATGTCGTACTTATCCAAGAGACAAAATGAATGTTCAAATAGGTATAAGTTCTAGCGGGTGCCCGTGAATTTTCAAGCCAAATATAGCTATAAACCATTATGGCTAAACAAGAACGTAACTGCTACAGCCGAATAACTGAAATTAGAAAAACTATCCTGCGATAAACCATTTTAATGTAGGTGAAGAATGAAAGAGATGATCCATTTGCATACGCCTATTCTTGTCCAATCCTGTTTAGTAAGTCAGTTAGATAGTAATTCTTTTGCAGCAACTGTGCTGCTTTTTTCTATAAATATTACCTGTAATACAAAAGTAAATTTCCCTTCTCTTATGATCAGAAGTAAGCAGGCTGATAGAAAAGTTTATACAAATAATACAGAGATAAAGTGGTGATTATCTGTAAAGAAGTATTTTTACTTATTTCGCGATTCGCGAACCAATAGACATCTTGTTCTGAAAACAGTATATAGCGAAGACAAATACATCTATGAAATACTTGAGATCAGAAACACTCACATTTGAAGTTGTAAAATGGTCAGGTATTGAAAAATTCCGTCGATGACCACACATTTGTTCGAATTTACTAGAATTCGTCATTGACAATTCATTTGTACGGTTGATTCGGGCTAATTTTGCTTCCCAAAATTCCCGTTCTTGACTAGAAGAAAAGACATCACGTCAACTTAACAAACAAACAAGTGAACTGAAATATAATAGGTATCGACAAATAATGAATGCTGCTTTACCTACATTATATTTGGGGACCACTTGATACGTGTATAGGCAACCTTCAATAAGAATACATCCAAGTTAGATCACTCAGTACAGACAAAGTACACTTCACAAGCTGTTTAGTTTAAAGCTAACAGCAAAAGCACCAGACATAATCATCTCAGTAGATGACTGCAATGCACAAGTATCGAAGCTGTGCAACTACGAAAGGCATCCTTATATATTAAGGGGCACCTAAGGAATTCGATACAGAAGAACTAATAACGAAGATAGTCTCTAGCAATCTTGTTCAGATAACTATGTATGTCTGGTCAGCATTCACCTGAATACATGAAAAATTGTCTCAGCTGACAGCAGTCCAACGAGTAACACAAATATATCACAGTCTTAATGTAAAAAACAAGTGGTTGAGAAGCACTTGTGTTCATCTTTTTTAGAATATCAGGTGTGCATCCAAAGAGCGGTTAACTAAACATTTATCTGAGTACCAACACAAAACTCATCCTTCCAAATCAGTTATTCAGTTACCAAACAGTATAGTAAATAAGGATAGTTTAAATATGTTTACGTGTCTTCTTTACATTGCCTTAGAATTGATATATCTTTCATTACTTTACTGATAAAGAACAGCTGGCAAGCTATACTGTTGTATTATTTTTTTTCCGATATTTTCACTATAATATGATTGCTTACCGTAGCTCATTTTCATGCTTTTGTGTTTGCAGCATAAGACGTTCTTCATAATCACTTAGCTGACTCGTATACTTCTTTTCCAACTCTTTAAGCTCGTTATGCAGACGATCTTCATGCTCTTGCGTCAGTGATAATATTTTATTTTCCAAGGTTTGCTTTTGCTTTTGGGATTGACAAATTAGTTCATTATATCTGCAAAAAGATTCAACAATATAAATCTTTGTCATTAGAAAAAAACCAGGCCGATATCATAAGTGCTACAAGTAAATCGTGCCATGAAGATGAGAAATATCACCTTTTAGATGACTCACAACTCCCACTGTATTCACTACATGAAATAAATCTTAAATACATGTTTTATCGTATTTAGAACATGTACATCAGTGTAGATCAAACAATAATCTGACTCAAAAACCACGTACAGATTTGTATGCTAAACGGTAAAAGATACGTTTTGGGTTAAAAGCGAAAATGCTACTCAACGGCATTTATATGCAGTTAGCACTGAACCACACCTATTGTGTGAGGGCTAATGACACCATCTAGATATCTAAACTTTTGTAAATAGAACAGACTTCAAATACAAGACCCAGTGAACTACAGTCAAACACGTTCTGCGCCTGACTCTTTACCTTTGGTAAATAAAGTAGGTTTGAAGCAATACCCTAGTGATTGAAAGTCAAGTGCTTACATCAGTAAGCCATAATTTTAAATTTGCATGCTGGATTGACTTTCATTTCAGTGTTGTTGGAACAAAAAAGGAAATTACCAGATTTTCACATGAAAAGCAATCTGTTCAATGGTTGGTTCTTCTAAGCACATAGATTCATCCAAGCAGTCTTCGGTCTAAACCCTGTTTTACCGATAGTGTGATCAGCTACTATCATAGACTGCGAGACATTAAGTGTGACTAATATCTAGCAAATAGAAAGCTTACATCAGAAAAACGAATTATAAACTATTGACGTATAATGTAGTCCGTTGGTAAGTGAAGCTGAATAGCACTACATGAATACTTTCATTTCGATAATACTCAGAAGTTAAATACTTTAAAGACAGCACTCTTAGAAAATTAGTTTCACTTGAACAAATGCTAATAAGCATATACTAATCTGAAATCCATGTAAAAAGGGGCAACACAAAATCCGTATTAACAGTATTATTACAAAAGAAGATAGAAGTACTGCTACACTCGAAGATGACGCCATCTGTATGTTTTCGTAAGAACGTTGACTGTCAGTAGTTACCTGTTTCATCTATTTGATTTCATTTAGGTATTTTAAACAAAGCAAGAACGGATAACCTTGAATACTATAACGGATATAATGATGACTGTAGGCGTTTAATTACTACAGTTTCAGATTAATCTTTACACTTTAAAGAGCTACAGTCGGACAGCTACAGTCATGACGGACGGACCATTTACATATTACTGATAAAAGTGATGACTAGATGGGAGGCTTTATAATGGTCGCTTTGTGTAAGCACTTATACGGCATTCTCTATGATGTTTGTTCCATGATCCAAGTTCTCGTTCCAACCTCTGTCATCATCCCTATTAAGCTATTCAAAGGTAGGTGTAGGTGTAGTCTGTTTTGTTACACGTATTTGAAAATAAATATGGCCATAGGAAAAGTGAGTAAAGAGACAAAATAATAATAAAAATAATAAATTAAGTGGTGAAATTAATCAATTCAAATGTGTATACTTGTTTAAATAAATACTTACTTTGCTTTAAAATCGGTTAGTTCCTTTTTTAGTAGATTACATTCCGACTGTGCCAAAGATGCCTGCAATTCAGCTTCTTCCTTACGGTGTTGTACATCAGACAAATTTTGTTTCACAAATTCTAATTCATTTAAAAAGTATCCTTCACTTTCAACTGAAGACCGACTGGTGATAATTGTTCCATCATTTTGATTACTGCTACTATCATTATTATTGACGCCAAGTGAATCCGCTTCATTTTTATGAGTCCGTGCGTTACAAAGAGCATGTTGGGCCTCAACAATGAAATTTTGAGAGAGAGAAAGTCAATCAATTTTGACGATTTTTAAAATTCCGGAATAAATAAAAGCTGATTTAAACACATTACTGATAATAACGATATACTGTAGAAACCAGTTAAATGAACTCAAAAGTAACTACACTTCATGGTTAAATACAAACTCATCATTGAATAGGGGTTTAATACCTCACATCCATGTAAACCAGCGTACACACGTAAAATGTTGACAAATTTTTCACAAGTAGGGAAATAATATTGTGAAGCTTAAAACAGCATTTCTTATAGAAAAGAAAATCCCAATATAGCAATAAACAAATACTACAGTTATACCTGTTATGATACAGCACTAAGTAGCAGTTAAGTTTAATGATTTAAGTTACTGAGATAAAGTAGAAACCAAATTAGGAACTGTTTGTGGACCCGAAACATATATATATATAAACAGACGCCATAACTTCGTTATGTAAATTTTAGCAGTTTTAAATTGAAACGTGGTGGCATTGGAATAAATGCTCTGAGACAATTTATTTAATCCTAGTCGTTTCCTTTTATCTATCATCCGAGTTGCAGGACATTTCTAGACACCTGAAACAAATATCAAGACTTTCTTCTTGTGAATGTTCCCAGATGATTTAACTAGCAAATAATTAATTATTACAGATTCTTTGTCGCATTCAAAGATTTTAAGGATTATCACTATTAGGATTCGTACCACAACCCTTACTTTCGAAGACAATAACCCTCCTTATGTACCTGTGACTACGAAAACCCTTGAATTGGCAAATATAGTGGGATGGGTTTATAAACTGTACACAATATTTGAATTTTTAATTATTCAGACTTTAAATCAAATTCGCAATTTGGTTTGAACTGATTCGGTTCTCTGATCTGAGTAAAACTGGGTACACCGCTGATGAGCTGGGTCCCAGACAGGGAAAACAGCCTTCCGGTGCTTGCGTGACTTTGATCTGGCTAGCAAGCACCACTGGTTGATGTCAGTAGTATCCAGCTACTCATTTCAACCAATCAGTAGTATATTTCATGATGCATTTATCCAGACTAACTGCATAGTGCATTTTATAAATGAGGGCTTCAGCTGAGTATGAAGCTGTCTCCGTCATCCATATACGCAAGTGTGATAGAAGGTGGAAGGTGGCTTTGAATACTATGTGCATCTGTGCAAGCTTATTAATTATTATTATTATTGTTTCCTTTAATTCCTAGAGGAATATAGGGCTTCAGCCGTGCGTCTCCATTGCATTCGGTTCTCTGCTAGAGTCTTCACCTGGCTCCAAGTCTGCCCACACACTTTCATCTCCTCTTCACATCACCTCCTCCATGTCACCCTCGCCCTGACGACCAACTCGCCGCTTCCCTTTCGGGTTCCACTCGAGCAATGGCTTGTCTAGTGATGTCACTTGATGGTTTCCTCAGAGTATGGCCAGCCAATCCATCTCCATTTCTTCCTGCCTATTTGTTTCACAATCGGTTCCTGCTGTGTTGGTTCGCCCATTACCAGAGATCTCTGTTGCTGATCTTTTCTGGCTGGCCATCTGATCTTGAGTATTGAGCGAAGACAACTGTTAATGAAGGTCTGTAGTTTGTTTGAGATGCTCTTTATGACGCGCAGTGCAAGTCTCTGATCCGTATAGTAGCACTGACTTCACATTGGAGTTGAAAATCCGGATCTTATTTTTGATGCTGAGTGCTGTTGACCTCCACACAGACTTGAGAGTAGTGAAAGCTTGTCTTGCTTTTCCGATTCTTGCTTTGATATCCTCGTCAGTTCCGCCTGTAGTTAAAACGATGCTTCCCAGGTAGGTAAAAGAGGTTGTTTCTTTCAGGTTCCTCCCATTTATGCTGATTGTTGTCTGTTTTGTTGTTGCTGTTGGTGGTGTTGGCCAGGAATCTTCATCACCTCTGTCTTCTCTATGTTCACCTGAAGTCCTATCTTTGATGCTTCTTCTGCCAACTTGTTGCTTTTCGCTTGCATATCTTCCAGTTTGTAGGAAATCAGACATGTATCATCGGCGAAGTCCAGATCCTCCAAGTTTTTTTTGTGAGTCCATTTTATACCTGTTTCCTCATTGCCCACTGTTTGTCGCATTATCCAATCTACTGCAATCAGGAAAATCATTGGTGATGGTAGACAGCCTTGTCTTACTCCTGTCCTCACTTCGAAGGATTCCGTAAGTTTCCCGTTGTGGATTACTTGACATGCAGCATTGTTGTACAGCTGTTGGATGAGATGTATAATTGTCGGTGGCACCCCATAGTAGCGAAGTAGTTTCCAAATCACCTCTCGATCGATGCTGTCGAAGGCCTTTTCAAAGTCGATGAAGTTGAGATAGAGAGGTGACTGCCATTCCAAGCTTTGTTCAATGATGATCCGTAGTGTGGCGATCTGATCAATACATGACTTGTTTCTCCTGAATCCAGCCTGTTCCGGTCGAAGTTTTTCATCCAGGGCGTGTTTGATTCTCTCCAGGATGATGCGGCTTAGAATTTTGCTTGGGATGGACAGGAGCATAATTCCGCGCCAGTTCTTGCATTGACTTAAGTCTCCTTTCTTTGGTAGTTTGAATAAGTATCCTTTCTTCCAATCCTCGGGTACTTTGTCTTCTTTCCACACCTTCTCCAGTAGTGGCGTCATCAAGTCCGCTGTTGTCTCTGGGTCCATTTTCAATGCTTCTGCTGGGATTCCATCTGGTCCTGCTGCTTTTCCAGCTTTTAGCATCTTGATTGCCTTCAGGACTTCTGATTTCGTCGGGGGGTTGGTGTTCACTGGTAGCTCTGTCTCCGTTGTTGGTATTGTTGGGCGCGTTGTAGGTGGTGGTCGATTTAATTACGATTAATAATTATTATTATCAACGTCTACGTCAGTAAACTTTCCTCCTTCTCTGCAATATCAGCTACGCTTTTGCGTGATTTGTACTGGACTGATCAGACATTATGATGATATAGATAGTTGTTTCTGTGTAGACCTACGACATATAGTTAGATCACCTTTTGATGCATTGTGCAATCAGCTAAAAAGTGCACCTATGAAACAAAGAACTATCATTCTTTTCTGGACATGCTGTAAATACAGTCTTCTGTACTTTTATTAAACTTATAAAAAAAATTAAAAATCAAAAAGTTTTGCGTGAAAACGCAGTCATACAGTATGCTAGTTCATCACACCCTATTATGTATTTGCATGCTTCCTATACATTCTTTAAAAGTCAATTATTCTGAATTTAAATAAATAAACATAACAAATAACGTTGTTCTGCTATATGACATATCTAGTGAACAAACTAGCGAAAAAATTTGATCTAGATTTAATCAAGTGATGTTTTAGACTTTGAGTTACACTGATCGTGTACACCAGCAGCTTAAACACTGAAACAGAGAAAGCAATTTAGAATAATAAAACAGGATCTTAGTTTAATGAATAAATGAGGTCTGTGTTACGCAGCATCCGTTTCCAGATAGAATAATCGAACTAATCAACTTCAAAATTACTTACGATATAATCATTTAGTCGATCACATTTAGTTCATTACTTTCTTCCACTTACTCATCTATGAGGAACTGTCCCAGACAGCGGAGGTCACAGTTAAGGACATAAATCCGTATAAAGATACAGAAGTGCATAAGTGACTATACAGCCAGTTTACTTCAACAAAGGTTGACAAATTTTAGAAGTAAATCTGTTGTGAAGATACAGAAACTAATGCAGCAATTACGTATCCCGTAGATAAGAATCTAACTAACAAAAATGGCTACTTTATACGATATAGAAACTAACACTAAAATCTGCTAAAAGTAGCTTTGAAGAAGAGGAAGAATACTTTGAATTCATGGGTCGATAATTAACTGCTAACTCAGCTTCACTGTAAAATGTATCCAAAGATTTCACTTTTTATGGAATGACTTTCATACTCGCCCCATTTTTACCTGTACAGATTACCAGCTAGTGATGGGTATTTTGGTTTACACACTTGGATAAATGACCCTCCCTCTTTGCTCTCCTCTTAAGTGCATTATTAACAGAAATCTGCTTTACATCCCTTCAATTTAGAATATTCTAAATCTTCTTCTGGTTCAGTGACACAAAGGTTTAGTTATGCGTTTGTTTAACCCATGAAAAGTATGTTAGCAGAAACACAAGAATATATAAGTATCCGAAACACATATTAAGTATAAACCATAAGATTGAAGAATTCTGAAAAAGCCCAGAAGCTATTGTGATTTCACTAATCACTTAGTATCAAACTAATATCAGGTGTAAATCGATATCCTTCTGCATGAGCAAGAGTGAAATGACTGTACGGTTTCGAACCTAAATGCAACACCTAATGGGGGCACACATAAAAAAAACTTTTTTTAATGCAAAAATTCTATAACAAAAGGAAAATTGAGACAAAGGACAACAAAAGGATGATATAATGGATCTGAGAGATCACAAACAACGAATACATCTGTTCCACTGAGTGCAATTTTGAGCCATATCACCAACAGTTACCGACCGTTGGTTCTTAGCATTTCGACGACCTTAATCAGGCAGTCTACACCTTCCTACGTGGCCGCAAAACAGTAGTCAAAGACTTCATGCATTAATGTTATATTTCGGTTTGACTACTCCTAACTCTTTTCTGAACATTCCTATCACCAGCTAACATTTATTTGGTTTAAAAAGACCAGAAAGAAAATACTGTCAGTCTTAGCCTTTAAAAACAGTTTTAGAGTACAGAAACCAGGAAATCATCTGAAGTTTAATTGTCCAAAGCATCGTAAAAAGGAAGTAGATATAACCTTAACAAATCTGGATGAGTTCAGAAACACTGATCTTTATGACATGTGTCAATCTGGAGCTTCAGTCGAAAACTATACAGAGAAGTGAAAGGCACACAGTTTACTCCTCATCTTAGGAAAAGATGTATTGCAAGATTGGGAATGTTGAAAACTCTACGGTAATAAAATTATTGTCTCTCTTCTCTTTACCTAACACTATGGCTTTGCTCTTAGATCCCTATAATACTATAATTAATTTACATTACGACAAAGTTATATGGAGCTTCACCGTTATTTACCTTTCTGACAATAAAGATACCAATCAGTATGACATGAGTAGGTTGTCTTCATAGGCAAACCCAAACATGTCACTATAGTAGTTGTTAGTCAAGAGAGGTGACACTGCAGACTTACACCTTTGGTTGATAAAGTGCAATATTTCGAAACTGATATGCAACATCTGTAATTCTTCTAGTTGCGAAAACTGTATCACGACCAAAACTTCAGAAACATGTGAGTTCAATAAAATAAACAGTATTGTAATTTACGCAATACTGACCAACTTTCCGCATGGATATTTTCAAGACACTAATAATAATAATAACAATAATTTTTACGAGTTGATCACGGATTGATATCAGTTAGAGAACCAGTGAAAACCAGGGAGTACTGGACAGTTGTTTCATCCTAGTTTGGGAATCATCGGCAGTACGCACCCTCAATGGTTCTCTAACTGATATCAATCCGTGATCAACTCGTAAAAATAAATCTAATCCTTATAAAACAACTATTGAAAATAATAATAAATAAATAAATTGATAACTAATAATTACTATCAATACCTACTTTGATTTTGTATGCAGCATGCTCAGTTTGCAACTTTTGGAATCGATCGACTGTTAATCTTTTTTCGTTCAGAAGACTTTCATACAATGCATGTTGCTGGGTTAGTTCAGAACTCAGCTTTGCTACAGTTGATTCCAAGTTTTCTTTTGTTTTTTTAGTGTGAGACAACTCTTCGCTTAGAAGATGTAATTCCTCAGTATATTCCACATTTACAGCCTGTGACTTTTGTAGTTCTACAATTTTCTTTTGTTGTTCAGCTGAATCTAATTTAGCTTTGACCAAAAGATTTTTCATAAGATGTAACTTTTCTTCAGAATTCTGGATTTGGCCTTTAAGGTCTGTGACAACACTTTCAGATATTGCAGCTCTTTCATTAGCTTTAGACAATTCATATTCTATAGATTTAATTTTATCTAAAAATAACTTATTTTGCTGGCTGTCTGTATTGTCATTTTCATCTGAAATACATGCACCTAAAGATGCAGTAAGTTGACCATTTTGAGTATTTACATTAGATTCAAAGTAATGCTTTATAATATGCTTCAATTTATTTAGGAACATTTCAATATTCTTTTCGTCTATGTGAACATTTTCAAAACTATTAGATGTATAGTGACTAACATCCAGTTCACAGTGTTTATTATTACTTATTTCTTGATAGTATTCGGTTAGTGGTACTAAAAACGAATCATAAATCAATGTGGTTTTTGTATTTTGAAGGGATGGTAACTCACATTCATCGGAAGACCCAAAACAAGTTGCTTGTAATTGACATAATTTCGTATCGTTTCTTTTATTGATGTAGGTAGCAGAAGTCAGTTTGTTTGAAAGGTTATTCAATGAAAATTCGGCACGTTCAACCCAACTTTTTAAACCATCTACTCTTTCTTCTAAAACTGACAGCTCATCACACACTGCATCTGTAATAGTTTGAGCATCTTTTGATGGGTGTAAACAGTGACAAGATAATAGCATATCGCGACTCTCGCAAGATGAGAGGTGATTGTTTGGAGGTAATTGAATTCCTTGACAGTGATCATCCGATAAATTTATTTTGCTTTTAAATGAAAGAGAATCAGTCATTAAATCCTTGATATTACTTGAGCACCAATCACTTTTCTCTACCATCTTCTTACATTCATCGAATACTGACTCCAATTCACCTTTTGACAAAATGCTTTTGTCATGTAATTTTAATGATTTTAGAGCCAGATTAAACTGTTTCATTATTGATGAACATTGTTCGCCATGACAATCCACACTACTATTTATTGAGTGAGTAGGAAGATCGTCATCAGGGGCGATGGTCAGGTGTTTTACACAAGATATTTGTAGATTCTTGCCAGTACTACACACCTTATCATCACAAAATGAAGAAGATTCAATCATGCACGGAGAGACTGTTTTGTTGTTGATACTATGGAGAACCTTGTCTGTGTTGCTTGGTGAACATATGGTAGAAATATTTTCATGTCTTATTTCCTGAAAGTCTTTATTTGAGGTGTAAGGTAACTCTGACAACACATCATCAAAATCTGTTGTCTGCGTAGTATTTGTACTGGTTACCACATTAGAATACTCAGAGGTACAGCAAGATTTATCAACTCTTTCAACTGATTTACTACCACATTGGTTATCGGCAGAGTGTTGTGACTTTAAACGTTCCAGTTCTGCTTTTATTTTCGTGTTGACTTTCCTCTCTTTTACTATAAGAGCCTTCAGTTTGGTCACTTTCTCTTGTTCCGCATCAAGAAGTTCTTTTAAGTTTTCCATTTCACTGGCTAGTCTAAGAGTAAAAGCGATACACTTAAAGTGAAATCAAATGTTACATTTATGATTAAATAAAATCATGAAATGAACAGTGTAGAGGAAAAGAATCAAACATCGTCATTTCAACAGCCTTAAATTACGGACCTAGTTGTAGCTTCTACTTTCGATGTCAGTTCAATCTCACTCGCACTTTAATCTACCCAGGACATGACAGACTAAGTGACATTCCGTTCGGGTTATGTCATTTTAAAAAATTGGTTGTTAGGTGGTGTAAGAAGGTATTTAGTGGGAGTTTCAAAGTTTAAAAATTTTCGTCTGCTTTGTCTTCTTAGTACTGCAAAATTTGATTGGGCTCGTGGTATATTTTGTCACGAACAGACACCATCTTTAATGGTAACTAGGTAGTTGTTTCTTTTTATTTCCGGATTTGCCAGCAGCATACGCTGCTCAGATTAACAAGATGTTTCCCAATAACAAGCAGAGTTGTCACATTGTTGTTGTCAAAACGACGAGTAGTGAGCCAGGAAATGAAAACATCTTCGTACCTTCCAGATGGTATGGCAACAAGTCTTTCAGATAAGAATTAAAACTACTGGAAGTGATATGAAAAACTTGTAAAAAGATAATCAGATAAAGATATCCGCTGAACTCTGTGGTTAACTAGCTAGAGTGCCAGCGTTGTGAAACACCTTCTTATTATCATCATAAGACATCGATTGACTTGACTCTGATTGGATGTTATGAACAGATCATTAAATTTGTCATAATACAGACATTTCTCGCATTGGACAGGAATAAGATCAATGTACTGTCACCACCCAAGCATAAAATAGAGCGGCAATAATGACTTTTTGTATGGTGAGTCAATGGTGAAACAGCCGCTGAAGTAGCACGACTTTCAGCACTCCCAGCGTTAATTCCGCACAGACTGGATTTTTAAGCAAACAAATCATTATCTCAACATTTAACGCATGATTCAGGAAACAAGACCGATGTGAGCCATGAAAACTCAAAGAACGAAAAGCAGTCTTTGGTATATTACACTGAATAAAGAAAGTTGTATTAGTTTTATTTGTTAGGGAGATGACGTGCTGTTTGGAAATGAGAACAAGGCTGATATTCCTCGTTAGTAAGAGATAGCACTATAAAGAGTAGTGATGATAAGTCAGACTTTCAAGATCAATTAGACAAATTAACTGGATTTTGAAAATGAACTACAAAAAAGGTTCCCTAATGCATCTGAGCCGTAGATCTTAAACAATATACTGCATGATGATGAGGGACAAAATGATTTAAGATAACTCAATAGCTCTATATTATAGTACAGCAGCAACCATGGTTGCATATAGTTCGAAAGGCTCTTAAACACTGAGATGAATGAATACTCTACTTAAATTGTCTCAGGTCTCATATATAATACTGCACACAGACGGCTAGCCTATGATTCAAGGATGTGGCACGTCGTGGAAAGGGAACAAATAGTAAACAATAGATAATTCATTGGTTTCTCACACCTTATGAAAAGGGCTTGAAACATATAAACTACTTATTATTATCATACGGACAGCAGCTTAAATTGACTTGTCGTATAATAAAGCATGATTCGAATATTGCCCTGTATAACATTTCCTTCCTTTTTAGGATACATTTGAGAGTTCATAAAAAGTACTCTAACAGAATACGTATGGAATTTCGATTCCCAAATATACTGTTTGATGACTGGAACTCTTTCCGTGATAGAGTGCTACTGGCCCTGCAAAAATACAACTGTATCTTCACAGACATATATATTTCAACGACACTCAAGGTGCAAGAGCCAATAACAACTTATCATGTGAAACTGAATCACTACAGAGTATAATACACAGCGAGTGGTTGTTAGCGAGAGAAGCTTGTGACAGAATTGTCGAAGTTAAAGTCTCAAGTACCATGGGTACGAACGCTCGTTGGATAACAGGACTTACTATTATTATTATAGCGCCAATGTGAACACCATACAGGAATCAATGTGTAAACTTGCCTCTGATCACGTTCTTAACTACCGTGGGGACAATTCGTTAACAACTGGTTAGGGCTAGGATTCGGGTCAAGGTAAGTATTAAGGTTAGGATCAGGGTTATAACTAGGGTTAGAATAAAGGTTAGGGTTATTTATTTTAATTAGTTTTATAATCATCAATTTCCTAGTAAGTAGTCTTTAATCCTCTCACTGGAAACCACAGTAATTCAATCGCGAGCTTTTGAGGAAGACAAAACAGTATAAGTGAGATAAACAGGTCACAAAAAACCTCATCTCCAGTCACCTTGATGAATACGTGTGAAGAAACTGGTCTAACTTGAAAACCGGTGCTCCTCAGCGTAATTAGGGGAGACTTTCACGTCATTTCATTAGAAAAATATCCTGCGCAATATGCATTCATGCACATGTAAATAAGCGTCAATTTTGGAATGAAAATCACTTTTTATGGTTGATCGGCTCAAAGTCACCGGTACAATCGTATCCCTAAGGACATAGTACGTCCACTATGACAAAGAAATAACCAACTGTGTCTCGACCTTACCGTACTGCTAATTACGATAACTAACAAGATAAAAAACAATTCATCAGTGTGCTCTTTTGTAAATGCAGCATACTACACAAGTTCCTACAAAGGCATTAAATTAAGCACAAATTCCACACTGAAAAATGAATGCCATTTTAGGCGGCCAACTAGCATCTGAACTAGATTATTAATCAACCTCTGTAGTCGCTACATATGAACAGACGACTGCCGCATTTAATACTTTTATCCTCCAAAAAAGGAACTGAACAGGTGAGAATGCATGAAAGGCTTTTCTCACAATCAAAAAATGTTACCAATAAAATCCAATACATAAGAAAAACACAAAAAAATATCTCGGCGAAACAAATAAAAGTGTATGTAACGATACTCTTGAAATGTTGCCAGCTGGGAATAAGGTATTCAATCTTCCAATGGCAGGTGTGTTCGTTAAAATAATCATTTCGCCGCAATATTACTGCTACGTTAAAAAAAATTATGCATCGAATTCTGTTTTCAGAAATAACTCAGGCAGAACAGTAGCCTAATATCATTACTAGCGGAAAGTTCAATATATCTCGACACGTTTAACTCATCAAAGTTCCAGCGGTTCATTGAGACTTTTGGAATGTTATTTTGTTAATTATCAGGAGGTTTTTTTGAAGTAACTAACCTTCTGGGAAACAAATCAGTGAAAATGATTAACTAAAAGAGAATCGAATGATCCATTTTTAAAGAAATCACTTATTTCCTAATTCACTTTCGAAATGCAAAGTCTGCTCGGAACCTATTATTCACAAGATTCCTTGCATTATTATGTGACGTAGATTGCAATTTATGTGTCCATCAACAATCATAAGCGGAACATTTACAATGATCCACCTATAAAATAATTGTATTATTTTTGGTCAGAACGTCTCATTTTGTTTCTATTTGTTAAAGGAATGGTTTCGTTCAGAATTCCTTGCATGGTAAGTACAAATAATCTCCTTTATGACCATATTTTTTACCTACGCGATATAATATGGAATTTTCGGACCTGTGACAGCTGAATTCTCATGTGTTATTTGTAATTGGTTGTTCTTTATCCGTATCTGTATATTATATTATTATTGTTGTTTCCTTTAATTCCTAGAGGAACATAGGGCTTCAGCCGTGCGTCTCCATTGAGTTCGGTTCTCTGCTAGAGTCTTCACCTGGCCTCAAGTCTGTCCGTATCTGTGAATACGATTAAATTATGGAACAGGTTTTATCATATCTCAACAATTTCCAATGTCAAATCTTTATAGGTTGATTTTGCTTCATGAATTAGTGCAGTTGAACCCTGGGGTCTCAAAAGCTGTTATTGTGCTGTTGACTAAACGGCTGAGCTCGTTTCCGCGAATAAAAAGGACAAGGCAAATGCAAACATATATGTATGTAGATGGGAATTCGGTCCTCGCAAATTAATAAATATATGAAAAACAGTTACCTGGTTAGTTATAATTGTCCCAAAATACACAAGTAAAGAAGTACAAAACTGTGATGAAAAAGAAGTCCTTTTTTGTGTGCAGTTTCCAATTTCACGTAATAATGGGCTAAAAGACTGAGCGTAATTGCGAGAGAAAAATAGATCGAAGCAGAGGAACCGAATGTGGATGTACGAATCATGTACAAACCAGAGATGACTGGCAACAGCGGAAAGCTAGAAGCTGAAAAGGGAAGTTGTGCTGTCCGTACTGAGGGGTGAACCAGATCGTGTCCTTATTCGACCTCAATCAACAACCCTGATGTGCGGTGAATACACTATTTTTACTATTTTACCATGAACGTTTAGTTTGATATTTCTCGGCTTCCACAACTGTTGAGAGTTTTATGAATAGATTCAAGTGGATTTGGAGAGAATAACTGGAATCTCCATGTGCATTTCTGCTTTATTATTTCCTCTTCCTTGTATCACACACAAACTGTAAAACGGCGATAAAAAATGGACGGATGGAATGCATTCAGACAAGAAGAATGATGCGAAACATCTATTTAATGGTAAAAGCATAGGAAAACGGAATAAGAAAACATGTATAATTTCAGTCTGTGACTTGTAGATAAGCATGGAGGAACACAGGAAATCGCCATGAATAAGAGGGCCATATATATATGTGAAATGTATATATATGTGGAATTTTGTCATACATAATGCAAATTTTAAAATATTAGGGGTGTTCAATATTAATGCTATATTTCTAACTGCTTATTGTTTCTGGTTTCTGAAGTTATTAGGAAAAGCATGTTTCTCCACTAACACAGAACCAGGACCATTACCCGAAAAATTATCGTTTGGATATTCTATATTCCCAACATCTGCTTTGTGAAAAATATTGTAGTGTATTCATTTGGCCAATGATGATAATATGCCCCATTACCCCTTGTGAAAGCCCCACCCATTGTACGGCGTTACATATCCATTTCTTAACAATTGGTTATATATGACAGTACATAGTCGCGAAAAGTGCTAGAACAGCCTGATCTTGTGTGTTTTGAACTCACAGTGTATGTCTGATCAAACATATCTCGGTCAGCTTCTGGAAACAGAAGAATTTTTGTAGCCTCAGGGTAATTTTTTGATAAATTCCATTAAGAAAAGTACCAGATTCATTAGTAAACCTGATTCAGAATAATAAAGGCTTAAATATCTACTGTGTTTATGGTCTCGTTCACATTCATATTCAAGCATTTCAAATGCACAGCTTTTGTGGACACCTATAGTTTTCAGTTAGTAGTCTAACTAAGTGATACAGAGAATGAAGATACTAATTCTTACAGGAAAATTGACATGTTTTGGACAAGTTAATTACGCCAAAATGTCTTTTTACATTCACATGGTCTTACTGCCTATAAGGGAATGGAAAGTGCTCACGAAAAACCACGGAAAATTTTTCTCGTGCCAATACTGCGAAACTGGTAATATCTTGAAAGTTATAGACAATTACATGGACAGCTAGCAGGAAAGATATTCATTTCAAGAACCCAAACATTAATCGAAACTTAAGAGCCACTTTATTCCGAATATAAACTCACTCGAAAAATAGCGAAAACTTCAAAGACTGTTTAATCCACGAGAGAGGTTGCTTAACTGCTTAATGGACCCATTGAGTATATAAAAAAATTAATAACACATGCAGGAGATAAACTGAGCAGGAAACGTATGTGACGGATTTAAATTTCAGGCTGACTGTAAGCCATAAGCATCTTGCAGTACTTAAACGGATACTAAATGGTCCGTTTTCACCAGCAGTATTTTCTGGATTGCTATCGCGAAAAAACAGAAAAGAAACAACTCCAGGAAAAGGAATTCCACCTCACGAGTCTTGGTTAATCACTGCACTTTGAACTGCAAACACATTCGGCTTTCGCTGCCTGGCTCTTAATAGTGATGGGATATCCTTCAACAGAATCTTACATGAGTCTGGAATTCCAATATCGTGTATTTCTAATTCAGTTACACTAACTCTAATGAGTTACTTCTCGGAAGAATATCTGTCCTCATACCATGTTGAGTCCACTGAATTTCTGTGAAATTCAATCAACTCCACAGAGTAAATCAAAAACACTGTGAAGATTTTTGTACATTTGCTATAAAAATGAATCAGCTTTAATAATCTTTTGTTATATTTGTCGATGAAATCATCGATTAAACTTGATTATTATAACATAAGTAATAATGTAAAACCTCCGGTTCTCTCATTTTTATCTCATGAAGAATGCTTCTCTTGTCTCTGACATGCATAAACCCCTTGATTCACCGAGGGACTTTTTTTATAAAAGAGTGACCTTGTGTCTTAATAAACATTAATATTTTAATCTCTATGTAAATACTCATGTTCTGTGCAGTACTGACATCTAAATTGTGTTTCGCGTGAAACTCTACCTTTGGGTACTACTCTAAGATCCTGAAGACATTGTTGAAGGAGAGCATTAAAACTCTGCTCCCTAGAAGAACTAGAAAACATAGTCAACCCCGTCAACGATCATACAAATAAAAATGGATATCCAAAGCAGTTCTTAGAAAAGTATTGTAAATGTTGGGAAATCATACAGAATGCAGCGCAGCCGAGAATAGACCAGTGTTCTTTAGATTAAGATTTGTGAGTGAAGTTGGTGGGAGAAAGTAGTGAGAACATATCCTGCAACACAATTTGTCTTTATTTCAAAAATCGATTTTTCACGTACACTTTCTAAACCGGTCAGTCCTGACTCTCGCTTACTATGAGAGCGTTTGTGAATTATTATCTAAATGTGGTAGTAAGTACACAGAAACTATTGCCTAATAATATTGTTCATCATTTACCCAGAAGCATATGCCCTGGAGGTTGTCTCATCTGACAATATACTAGCTCGATACCAGACTAATATACGATACCACATCTGCACTTTCCGACTACTTCGAAATGCGGAAATTGTGGCCACTTTAACACGGGATCCGTGATTGAGTATTTTTCCAGCTTATTGTAACCTTGTTAAGTGTTGAAGGTCAACTACAATTCACCAAATTTTCACACCCACTTTTTGTTATGTTACTCAGTGCACGCATTTATCTACTTTTCTTCTGATTTTGACAATATATTTATAATATTTCCCTCCCCCTTCATATGGTTCAGAAAATGCTTTCATATAACTGAGTAACTACCCAATTCGCGTGTGAATTTCCTTTAAACTCTACAAGTTTCTACCCTTGGATGTTTGTAATATCTCTGTTTTCCTCGCAGTTGAGCATTCCAAATTTCCTTTTAATTTTCATCTCATCTGCATGATCAAAAATTTAATCTGCTCATGCGATATTCAGTTATCGTGTACCTAAATTATGTCACTTTTAATACCTTCATGTATTTTACAATTCAGGCTGTGAGCAGCTGATGAAATAAATGTGAAATAGAGTTAACATAACTATACTTGCGTCAGGTGTTGCTGCTGAGCCACAAACGAAACTGTTTATGAGTATTTTTGGGTATCAGACCATTGCGTTTAATTATGTATGACAGCCAACATCAGGAAATGTAGTGTTTCCCAAGGTTTACCTCGAACTAAGCGGACCTTAACGTTTCTGAATATACTAAATACGTGTATTAATCTCGAGAACCTTTTACTATCTCCTTAATTAATTAATGAGGTGCTATTATGCAAGGTTAATGCCAGCATGTGATCAAGTAGAATTCTCAATGTTTCCAAAAATCCGTCCAACCTATCGCATTCAGCTCAATATGATTCGGTTTCATTTAATATCCTTTCCGTCGCATGCCGCAGAATAGTAAATGCGTCTATTTTGATGGAGAATTATTTGCTTCATGCTTTGAAGAAAACAGAGGCGCTGGATAGTTCTAACCTTCAAAATTTTATTTGGACCCATAATGCGTTTCGTTAATGTGCGAATCTACAACCTTACTGAGGCTCATGTGAGCAGTTTTCACCCCTACATAAAAATACGCAGTAGAAAATCCGTATCAGGCCGTAATAGTAATATATCTCAATTGAGTCGTTTGCTAAAAGAAAGCCATTTTTAAAAAGCACACTTGATGACTGCACGAATACACATCACGAAATGTCGATAACAGTTTATTATTTGTGTAAGTTGTCATCAAAATGCGAAGACCTCAATGATAAGCGATCAAGTCATAGTAAATTTCCAGGAGGCCCAGATATCATCTCAGTATACAAAGTTTAGTATGCACAGCTGAAAAACTGTTATTTCCCAATTAATTAATCGGGTAAGAATCGCATTATTTACATCACTTGCTATCTATCCCAAGAACACCATGTGTTCTGCGAAAACGTGAAATGATGTAGTAGCAGAAGTAAAGGTAATTTGTACGGAGCGAAACAGTTACAAAGGATATATAAATGAGAGTTGTACAACACGTGGAATGATGGACTGACTTTCACAGTACATTACCACATAGGCCTTTTCATAACAGTATTATCAGCCACTTCCTTAACCCTGTCATTAGGTTCTCTTGGCGAATTAGTCTTAGGCTATTGAGCGAATGCACGTGCCTGCATATAGTTTTATGCCCGGACATTTATACTTCATGTCTTAGCAGGATACACTTGACTATGATGCGCTATTTTTCACCGTCAAACCAGCTGCTGTCTACTACACTCAGTTCATTTTTATCAGAGAAACGGAATTATTATACTATTATCTCGAAGTGGCCCTCCAAAAACAGTGTGTCTCCAAGCGACTTTGTGGGTTTGAATTCAACTTCATTTTTTTTCCATTTGGTTCTTGTATAAACTTAACAAAATTCCTCTCTTCATTGAAGAAGTGAGCATCTAAACCACTTATGAAAACATTCGGAACAGATGATAATATACTTACCTCAAGAACAAGCTTTCACAACATAGTAGATAACGTATTAAATTTATTGTATGCCTTATCGTGCAACTTGGTTACTTAGTAGCTGAGAAAACAGATTCAGTGAATACCGAAGCACTGGATGTCTACTACTTAAAAATTTTCAACTGATCGGCTTGTGAAACGAATATAGTTGCCAAAGATTCACTTAATCCGTAGCTATTTAGCAGCTTAGTAATAAGACGTTCTTGTTATGAAGTACGTCACGATAATCTGTAGTTCCTGTATTACGATATAAGTAATTCTCGACTACATGAACAAAACAAAAAACTAAGGCATTGAAAAGCACTCGTGGTCTAATAATCCCTTTATGATAAATATGAGCTTTTATCACATTAATATATGTGTGAAACTTAGGAACCGTGGTAGTAAGTAATTCCATTTTAGTTTGGTTATTAGATATATTACATAATGAAGCAGTATTATTTACTGGATGACAAGGTTTCGAACAAAATTCATAGTCATATCAGTCATAATCACACGACTTCGAAAAATGAGTTTTATACCTATTTTTTGATTCCGGAGTTTGCATGTATTCCTTCAGCTTAGGGATATGCATAAAAGGAATCAAATGAATTCGTATGACTGTCATCAAATAAACCAAATATAAACACAATTCTGGTAAATTCTTGAATCGAGTAAACAGAAAAATTTGTCGAATTAATGGCCAGTCACTGAAATAAATAATCGCTAAATGATATACGCATTACTGTGGAGTGATCAAATTATTCTGAGTATTTAGCTCGACTCCGTTAGGACACTTCATCTGTCATTGCAGAATAAATGATACGAGTAACTCCGGTTACGAATCATTTTGCATTATTTAATAGTTAGGTAAACATTATCCGATTCAGACTAATATCCAGTAAAATAAATTCAGAGGAAAAGAACTAAATAGTTAAAGTTTGACATTATGTTATATTTTTAAAAACTATGCTCTCTCTTTGTACAGTGATATTCATATCCAAAAGCATTTAATGACATTTAGAAGGAAAACTTTGAAGAGTTCGAAAATTGTTTTGTAATTTAGATGTGCTTGCAGTGTTCACAAAATCAGTGTTAAATAGAAATTGACATCTTTGTTTTAATTTTACACTTCAGTTGACCTTTCTGGTTAACAATTTTAAATAGTCTACTTTTTAACGTTGTACAATGCATCACAATGAGTATCGACTTTATGTTGACACATCAAAATTCATTTTTCGGAAATGTAGTCAAATGGAAATAAAAATATACCTGAGGTTGACTAATGAGGATACTAAATGTTTCCTCTGCATTAGTTTTCAAAATAAAGACATTCCCATAAATATTCTTGGAGCATGGATTCAAGTAAGTTACTAAATATTATTACTTAATCATAGCTGTTTGTCAAATTTTGTTTATAACTTCAATACGCTAAATAATTAAATCGTTATGTTATTCATTTATAAACTGTATACAGTGCAGTTTATCAATGATATATACGTATGTACTTACTTTTAGTAATTTTCATGGACATTGGACTTCTGAAAGCACATAATGTATGAAACTTCCAGACCAACTTTTCAGTTATTCTCGATTACCTAATTTTATGCTTTTATAATATTTTTGATGGAAAATTAACAAGACTACAACGAACACTTGTAAAACATTTTCATAACTTTAAACACAATATTCGTCCAACCAATTTATGTCGAACTTTACAAAGATGTGCATCATCTTAATTGTTATCACTTCGACGAAATGTAAACAAAATCGCCAACGTGATTATATTACAATGGAGAGATATGTTTGATGAAAATAAACTAACTTTAAGAGGATTAGAGATTATTTGTGGAATTCCAGAGAATACCTTGAGCGACCGAATTCACACCATTGTTTGCTCTCAAATTTTGTCACAATGAACTTATATTTCATATAGGCGGAATCGAATCAATCAAAGGACACTTGCATACACATTTCATGCCAAAGGTTACTGACTTAATTGGTAATGTTTTTTTATGAATGTAAGTAACTGAATCCTACTTCAGCTAACTTTGTCTCTCAACTAAGCCAGTGTCTAAAGAGAGTCCATAACTCTATGCTTCACGTACCGTTTTCAGTGCATCACTCTTGAAAATTTAGATACACTAAACTTAATTGACATGGTCATGATAATTTTGAAACTTGTGGAGGTTTTATTAGCTTTTCCGCAGAAAGTTAATTTGAAAATATCGTGTCCCTCTATATTTCTATTCTCTTTGGGATAACTGAAGTATTAAAATTTGTTTTTATCTCATTCAATCAAAAATCCTGAGGATAAAGTTTAACTTTAAGCATCACTAACTACCAATCAGCAAATGACCTCAAACTCACGAATCTAGTGGAGGAGGCACTTTTGTGCGTGGAATACATATATTTATGAAATAATGCATAAAAACTGTAGAAAAGTGTTACAGAGGATACCTTCCCCTCACATTTGATAAAAATAACTCTCAGTTTTAGAGTATCAACAGAGTATAATTCCATTGTGGATAAAATTTATTTTGATAATACAGTAATATATCCTGAGCAATAAGTTGTGCTCGAAACGTGGTCATCAGCAAATATTACTGTATAACACTGTAAGACTTTATGAAAATAAATGTTACCCACAATGAAATTATACTCTACCACAGTGCAAAAGTACTATTCTTATATCAACAGAGTAACTTAACCACATTATATGCATGTAATTATTTAGGTCTTCCAAACCTAACAATAACCCTTATCTTTCCTAAACCTAATCCTAACGTGAAAATATCCCTAAACTAACTGTAATCTAACTCGAAACAACTCTAATATCACCTTTTATTAGGTTAACCTAACCCTAACTTGTCCTTGGCTTAAAGCATAACTTAAACTTTCCCAGACCAAAGCTGAAACTTGCCAGATGTTCCATCTAATAACATAACACTTCGATGAGCATATTTTATTGATGATGACAACATTATTAGCCAGGTATCACTAACTTACTCAGTGAAAGTTTCAAGGTATTTGGTGCGGTCGCACTCCATTGGTAGTTAGTGATGCTTAAAGTTTAACTTGACCATCCTGAGATTTCTGACCCTCACGTAAACGAAAGCATATGTGGCCGTTTGCTATCCTGCAGACAACACTGCGGTCTCATTTTAGAGAACGGAGTAAATTTGTTGAATCTATTTACCAGTTTGAGTAACATCCACCTGTCCCCTCAAATTATTCACCATTAAAATCCAATAACTGCTTTTTTACCGTTGAATCATTTATCAGTCGTTGTTGATGAAGAGTTTGAAAACATTAAATTTAGAATACTTCATGCTAAGAGTTATTTGGCTCCACCTCTAGTGCCTAGAAACAGTGATTAAATTTGCAAAAAGTTATTGAATCTCCGACTATTCAATCAAAAGAGCTATCATAATCTTTTTGCGTGATAAAATGTCTGAGTGAGCATTTGTCTGTTTCTCTAAAATTTTGATCGGAAACCCCTACAAAGAATTTATAGCATATTCCCGTGTAGTTGCTTCGTGAATATGTGATTCGTAACTACGGAAATGTGCAAAACGAAGTGTTTTCCTCTTTTAGTCTACAGCATAATCATTGTCTACCTTTAACAATTTCAAGTACTACATATTAGAATGATATAAATTCTCAAGTGTGATAAGATGTCTTATTCTCATGGTTAAAACTTTGTTATCAAGGTTTAGTTGTCTCGTATCATTCACTTTTTCCCTTATAATACAATATAATACATGATATATGTACTAACATACAACATACGCTAGGAATTCAAACTCAGAATTTATTTTCAACAGGTTTTAGATCTCACTGCCAGGTCAACATGCAGTTGTTGTCAAGTTCGTTCATTTTTTGTAAACGTTCACAAAGTTTTAATGTGTCGCTTTTATGACAAACAGTGGAACTAGAAATAGAAAGTAACTTTTCAGTTACCTAGGGTTACTGTTGTTATTTAAGACTCATCTATGTTCGGTAACGGCTGATTGATTGGTTAAATATGGCATTAGTCTTTTTATTTTTCCACTGTACCAGGGAAGCAATGTAGTATTTTAATGAGCACTTTTCACTTCGAAAAGATTCGCATCTGATGCAGTCAAAGGACTATTGAAATTTTTGACTGCCTAACAAAACATTTTCAGGGTAGTGAGAATCGATTTCTACTTTCTTTTTGAAAAAACATTTTGTGTAGCAATAGATATCTTGGTTTATATTTTTAAAAATCTACGCCATTTTGGCTTTTTTATTTAGGTTGGGGAAGCTGACTGTCCTCATGAAGCTAATCCTGGAGACCGAATAATCGTCTTGTTGAAGTCAGAATTCTTATGCTGGAACAGTAATTCATCTGAAAATAAATTTCAATATATTGACATTCCGGAGAACAATCAATCTGTAGCAAAAACTGTAGAATGTAGTATGCTGAAGACTGGAGTGTTCAGCAGTTCAGTAATTGGCAAAATCACCTTCAAAAAGCATTTCAGCAATTCATACCCTCAGATAATATCAGAAGTCACACTAGATATGGTAAATATAATTTGGCTTTCACCAAATTCTACTTACATTTGTGTGTATATAGTTTTCCAAAAACATATCATAGTATTTCAGCTGGCCTGTTTCAAAAGGCATCATTCAACAGTGCATTATGTACTAAAATAAGGAATCACGTGTGACCTGAAAAGCATAGTGATGGAGCCCTTGAATTTACCACCAAATGGAATGATTTCAAATTTGTGACAACCGCAAGTGCATCTTTCTGATGACTACTGATAAACATGAAGCCTACACCTAATGATTTCAGTAGAGTAACTCTTAATGTCCCACATAAACTTACAGTTAATCCCCACTCACAGTAATTTGTATCCTCCAACTTAGCACAACACAAAAGTTTTAGATAGTTTCAATAATTTGTGTATAAATAAAACGAGGTATTTGAGAAACTCATTTCTTTGTAGATGGGATGTAAAAATTCGCTTTGCGTGTATACTTCGTCTGTACTAGTTCCTACCATCTAAGTCCTAAAAAGGACAAAACCATCATCAAATACATAAACAAGCACCTACTGGAAAAAATATATATTTAGATCACTTCTGGTTCATGCACAAGTTATAAGTAATGTACTGTAAAAAATTAACATTACAGTTAAGTCATATAGTTACCTATCTTAAGAAAGATGAATAGTAAATCTTGTTCCTTGCTGGATAATCAACTTATCCTTAACCTGTAATTTAAGGTAAATATATTAGCCTTGTAATGTCCGATGTTAATCAGTCTAATCGACTAATAGTTTTTTTTACCAATCTACTCCTCATATGAAATATACAGTTGCATAACGACTTTGTAATGAAAACGTAGTAGTTTTGAAAAATATCTATCAATAAAATATTTGACATTGAGTTTACGTTACGAAACAAACATCTTGTTGCATAATTCGTGGATGGTAACTAGCGGTGGGATCCAGGATACGCGTTTCGTCCTACTCGGGACTCTTCAGCATCGTCGAAGCACCTGCACAAGAAGCCGACATGTCGACCTGAGACCTAGCGCTTCGGTCCAATCAATCGACGGGAAAATCTAGAATTGAATTAAATAATCTTATTGTATGTTTATTTTAAAAATCCCTAGTCCTAATACAATTCTATAAATCTTTTCGCTACTATGTACCGGTTGGACACTTAATATAATTACGGATTTTTTCATTCGCGTTTCGAGTAGAGAACACAGCCTCAAGCTTCTGCTTTGAAGTTTCAGTAGCAGTGGTGTTGTTTTTACAGAATAAGGTTGCTAACCTAGCAGCTGATCCTTCTTCCTTACCGGGCTTACTACCGGTGGTAAGCTAGACAAGGTTTAGGAGTACATCAGCGAACAACGTGTGTGGTTGGTGAGAATGTTACCAGTGAACCACTGACGAACACAATTAGTGATTAACAAGGTTTTATTTAGGAAAAATTTCTTTGACAGTATAAACTTTCATGGCTTTTACTTCATTTCCAGCATAAATTCTCTGACTCGCTGTCACGAAAAGATAATCTCTGGACTGTAAGGAGCTTGTATGACCTAGCCTGTAAGTTGAAACTAATGTCTACTAGCTTTTTATGGCTTTCCTTACTAATAGCATTTCCATTAAATACTCAATCCAGTTTGATGGAAAGGCATGTTTTAATCTGCTTAATATTACAGTTATTTTGATGTGTATGCATTAAATTTTCATTCTGACGCATTCATTTTAGTAACATTTCAATTTTCTAATTTCATGCTTGCTTTTCATTGATGGAAATCGTTGGTTAATAGTTTAACTTGTCCACCGGTACAAATGTTTGGTAGTCACTTATAGTAAATTTTAAGAGCCAAAAATAGGTTACTTATTACCTATGTGGGTGCAATTATTTGCGATACTATAGACTGGATGACAGTAGGTACAATAAGACACTCAATCATATGAAACCAAAACGTTTGCCAGTAATAAAAAGGTGGGGATGGTAAATAATATTTGTAAATGTTCAGAGTGAAGTGTTTTAGCTGGCGAATGTTCAAAGTATTATTCCCGTACTTTGTTGCCAGAAGAGCCTGTCTTTAATTTGCTTCATAAATGAAACATTACACTGAGACGCTTTGAACTAAAAGTGTAGTTTATATAATAAGATAATTTGAACAAAACTGAAGTTCCCTACTCTATTACACATTAACAGCAACTCTTTGATCCTTCTTTTATATATACAAGTTGTTATGCAGACATGACAGACAAACATATCCATGCTATGGTGGTTTTCCTCCGTATTGGTGAATATTGATGACTGTATGAAAATTAAGTTGAAACAGTGAACACTACTGTCGCAAAATGCAAACTTTCGCTGTGTCTCATTATTTTAGGCTGACTGTAATCAATAATCCACAGACTATTCTTCATGGCGATACAGTAGCAGTGGCGCATTCATACTGTGCCCCCCTTTATGTGACTGCCTTCTATACTACCAAGTAAATGCTGCAATATATATATATATATATGTATATACATATATAGTATATTAATCAGCACTGCTATATTCATAAGGTTTGACTTAAAATCTTTTTAAAATCTACTTTTGTTTTCATAGCACTTTATGGATACGTAAAATCTCCTTTCAAATGGCACTATTTGGCTGAGTTACTCGGCTTGACTTCGAAAGAAATTGAAGAAATCGACCGGTCGCTCTTACAGGACGAATATTTCATCTCTGATTCTAATGAAGCTCAAATGAGTTCTGTAACACCTAGGAGAATTTTTTGCCTATTATTGTCTAACTTTCAAAAACTTGGTGGTAGCCTATCACAAGTGGCAAATATTTTGCATTCAGATACACAACGTAAGAAGCAGATTGCCAAAAAACCTTCACAACAAAGTGAATGTCTAAGAATTCTTGAAAGCAGCCCAAACATTCATAACTGTCAGATGCGAGACAGACAAAAGGACAAAAATCTTTTCTCTATCCCGGGGCAAATTTACCCCTTTCATGGTGAGTCCCTATTCTTCGCTTTTATCTGAAAATTATAAAGTATTCACATAGCTGCATAATTGTTAACTGTGCTTCATCAAAGGTAAAGGAACAATACATTTAGTCTGATATACTTGTTATCGCTGTATGAGCTGCCCTTTCTATTCCCCCATTTGATCGATACAGTTGAGAAGTGTTTTCAAAACATGTAGGTATGAATGAGTGACACTGCTCCCCATAGCAAGAGACAACAGAAAAATGGAAAAACTAATAAGTAAATTCAAGCGAGCAGACTAACGTTTAATCTTGAACTAAAGTAGATCAGTTAAAACTTAAAAGAACACACTTAACATAAAAAGTAGGAATGGTATGGTACTAAAATTGAATGCGTATGAGAAGAAATATAATAACAAATGGGTATACCTGGGCTTTTATGTTCGACAGTCCCTGACAGATTTCAAAGTGTTAGACTACTGACTTTGATTATCTTAGTAGTCTCTGTTGAATAACCTACACTTGCTTACAGAGTTCGAACCTACAGCCAAAAATTATTACCTTGAGTACATGTATAACAAAACTTGACTTTTCTCACTTTAGTTGTGCTTGAGACAACTTCGTTGTTCGGCATGCCCAATACATATATATGTCAGCTTTCCTATCGTGAAGGAAAGCTCACAGTCTTATCAGCGAACTTTTTTCCTTGCTTAACTCTACCTTATTTTACAATTACTCAATTTACAGCTCCGATACAGAAGTTCGATACATCTTAGAAAGTGACTTTATGTGACTTATTTGACCATTTTTGTAATAAGAATCGATGAGTAATTCACTTGCCTGATCTAATGAGAAAGTTTGTAAACCAGTTAAACTATTTCGTTTGGTGTCACCTATGAAACTACAATATGGAATTCTACAAACTTCATCTGAAGCATAACTTTTAGCTGTTAAATCGATAAACAGAGAGGGAATAGAGTAAAATTAAAATTCATTTAGAATGTAATTAGATTGCCTGAATTTAACGTAGTCGCACTAAGGGACTTTATCTTCATCACTCATGTATTGTTGTTATTATCATTCCTGTTGTTATGATATAGTTAAAACAAGTTCCTACATGTTGAACTGTTATTTTTCATACAATACCTTTTGTTATTTTTCTTTCACGTGTTTTAAAAATGTATATGTATGAATCTTAGTGTGAATTTACCATTACAGGATAGATATTGGCATGACGCCAAGTATATAAGAAAAATAGGGTGACAGCACAGTCATTATCATTTATCAGGTCAAATCAAACAGACTGTATCTATGACGGTGACGATTGTGTTCATTTAGTTGTTGCTATTTGTTTTATTTGTTTTTTGAAGACTAGCTAATTAATAGATCATGTTTCCTGTTTTATTTTTATTTACTCTGGTCAGGTATATACTCAATATAATAGTCAACTGGTAAGGATTAGTCATGTGAAAACTATTATACTGATGTGTGCTCTTTCAAACATTTATTTAATCTGTTGACTAATGAATGAACATATGTTCATTCATCGCTGTAGAATTTTAATAGGAATACAAAGAGAAACGTGATAGGTTGATTTCCAACTCTATTATAAAATGATTCATCTATCAAAAGAACCAGAGTGAATTATTATGGTTTACTAATATAATAATAACAATAATAATAATAATAATAATATCAATTTATTCAAACTGCACACACTAACTTAAAAATTATGCTAACATGTAACCAGAAAATTATTGATTTGTTAGAAGATGTCATTCATATCTCTCTAGTTATTTTACCTTTATGTCAAATGTTTATTACTAAATTAATGTTAAACCACGGTAAATAAATAAGGGGGTGTCGGGAAAAAACTGGCATAAATTTGGCCTATCGCACCACTGGAAAACACTAGACTGCATTCAGATGTTGAAAAACAACTTGTTCCCACAGAGAATTACGAATACCAGGTTGGATTTTGCAACAAGGACGCAAGTGTGTATTATTAAGGAATCTCAAACTATGGTGAAATAACCGTGGATTACTTCAACAGGTAACAGAGTTCATGCTAAGTACTGTATCGAGTTCCATTAACACTCAGTGAACTACTCAACTGACCTAATACTATTAATCACTTTTCTGTCAAAATGATTTCTGAAAATAGTAAAAGTAAGGAAATCAGACAGATTTGTGTTGGCTGTATTGACTATGTCGTTATCATCCAATACACTTTGTATAGCTAAACCGGTCATGCTACAGACTTTGTCATTGCAGTTATTCTGAAGTTTGGCTTGTGGATATCCGACTAATTTCACGTCACTTACTTTCAAAATTTACAGAACTGTTGAAAACTGGGAAGCAATGGATAATTGTTTCGTCCAGCTTGAGGCTTATTAGTAGTGTAAATACACTTCACTAGAGGTTAAATCCAGGTTATGAGAAATTCGCTATCCATCCACTGGTATGACACTTAATAGTCCATAAATTCTCACTTTTACTATTTCTCGAAGCAGGGTCGCTAGTGTTGGTTTGCAGCAAAAGCTATCCTGAAATGCATTTTAATGTCTGAAAAGTTATTATTCCTGTCAAATTTTCCTGCTCAAACGTCTAAGCTTACACTAGACCATAATCTATTTCTTACAAATACGGTAATGACACATTTTAGCAGGAAAATCTGTACTGGCTAGAGGTGAAATGTTTCTAGTTAACCAAACTCAAAAAAGTATTTTCATTCAGCCTTTTTACTTTATATAGGATCATTAGTTTTGGTAGATTAACAGACGCAGCACTACAAACAAGGAGTATGCAGAGAACTAAATCCGTTGCTTTAACGCATAAATATAAATTGTTGTTTAAAAAATGGAATGGAATGTTAATTTGGATTTGAATTACAACCTGAATTAGGAAAAATTCAAACTGGCTACTGCTAGACTATTGGTTAGATATTTTAGTCGATGAGATACAAAACTCAGCTGTCGAACCAATCCCGACTACGCTGCAATTAAAAAAGGTTTCCGTGAGCAATAACATGAATATGTGGTATACGGCTGTCCGTCCAACATTTATTACATTAATCTCTCAGCAGGTTCCTCTCGTTCTAATCCTAGTCATAGCAGACTGAAGAGAGAAATCAGGTGATTATCTTTTCAGTCAAGTGATTAGTCTTGACATCTTTATAGAATTCATCCTGCTTTTGATTCCAGTCCTGCTGAAAACCAGGCTTCCATTTCAGTTTCGGATATTATCTAGTTTCATAAGTACCAATTACTAAACACCAAAATCAAAAATCGAAACTCCGTATTATTTTAGTCATGACCTCCATCATGAGAATTTATGATCAGAAGTTACCTTAGGAATTAAATTATAACGTTTAAGTTACATATTTTATTATTTAAGTTTTTAACGTTGAAAACAGATTTTCATGTCAAATTTTAATCATCATTATTTTCTTTCTTGTCACGTATAATTTGTGATTTTGAGCAGTAATATCACTAGCATACAGATTACGTAATCAGATGACATAATCTGTCTGGTGTAGATTTTATTTTTGTGTTTTTTGATCTCTGTTTAGCACTATGTAAATATAATTATACTTGAACACGAATACAGGCTAATAAATCTACAAACACAGATGTTAAATTATATTTCCAAACTGTATCAACAACTCAGCTTAGTTACAAAATGACCTGACTAAAATTGATTTTTATTCTGTTCTCGTTTTATTTGTTTATTTACTCAGTGAAAGAATATCTTTTTGGTTGTTCAGACGAAAATTATTTGACTGGAAATGGTTAGAATTTTTAACTGTCAATATTTTAGGCACACATTAATCATTTCCAACAAACACAAATTACCTTACCTTTCTAAGTAGGTGACTCGAACAAAACTCACAACGCTGTTGACTAACTTGATAAGATAGAAAACCCAGGTTACAATGTCATTCTAAGATTACTAGTAGGAATTCTTTACCCGCGTAACGTTTTCCTTTCACCTCATCAACTAAATCAAACTATACTGAGAGTTCGAACCAAAAAGTTCGATTATTTCATTCCTTGAATATCAATGTAGCATTAAATCTTTAAAATGTATAAAAGAGTAAATACCATTTATTTGTTTTTGCCTTTGTTTTTTATCTTCTCTAGTCAGTTAGCTGGTTGAAGGAATTGATCAATCTACTCAGAAACAAAAAAACATACCACAGTAGCTTATATTTAATCACCCAGTCAGCTAGTTAGTTAGTTGCGATCGACTAGGTAATACAATACTGGCTTGCTTCAGATTACTTTTATTCGTAAGAGAATAGCAGTATAAAATTGATAAATAAAAATAGTTATGGTAGGAAAAAGAAGAAAAAAGATGAGAAAAGACTGATCACCATTTAGTTTTCAGTTAACAGTTATTTCGTTTGATGCACAAGATGTTAGCCGAGCATCTAATACAAGTCAAATTATTCACTGTTACATACAGTGAAGTAATATCAACCCAGTGAGACTAAATGAAATGCGGGTGCGCAGTGCTGAAGAATCCCAAACTAAGACGAAATAGCTGTCCAGTACTCCTAGGTGGTTTTCCAATGGTTCTCTAACTGATGCCAGCTCATGATGACCCTCCAACTTAATGAAATGCCTATGACAAAGAGTGGACAGGTGAAAAATTTACAAATTTACCTCTTGTTTTAATCACCTTTACATTTATTGTAAAATGAGACTATTTTGGGAAAGATGTATGTACATGGTTAAAGATAACGGGGAATAATGACAATGTAAATAACAAAATGATGCTTTTATTCGCCTCTGAATAGAATCAGCCAGTACTTTTTATCTTAGGATATTCATTTTGACCATTGTACTATTGCTTATCACCATTCAAATATTAAATTACCTTATTGTTAGACCATTGATTGTCATACTACTATGCTACATTTGAATTCTATGATTTCGATTTTCAAGTCAGGTTAGATAATTGTTTAACTACCATAAATTAATTTCGTTGGTACTTCATCCAAATTTATGAGAATAAAATTCTCT